CTCTCGCGCTCAGGCCTCTGCTGATATAGCAGACATGAGCGTCGAAAAGTGCATCAAAGGAAAAGCAGTAGCTCCAGAGTTGTGCTTACGGCTTAAGCGGCTGCTTCAAGAAAACTACCAACAAGCTAAGCAGCAACAAGGCTACAAGGCAGCAACACAACCACAGCCTACAATTAGCGAAGTGAAGCGGAAAGCTCTGAGCTGTGAGACCCTGCTAAGAAGTTGCATAGGCTAAAGTTTGCACAGGGACATTGCAATCCTTCAGGAGAGAGCTCGCTAGAGTGGATTGCTTGCCAGGAGGCGACCTCAATCGAGGAAAATTATGGCTCAGGCCGCTTCTGCTAGCGGAGGGTGGCATGAAAGCGCTGAGCTGGTGAAACTTAGGCTTCTCATGGAGAACGCCTTTTCCAGAGATGTTCTTGCTCAGGCCGCTGCCACAGCAGTGTAAGTTAAAGCGAAATTGAAAAACAACTGACAACCAGCTAGCATCTGTCTTCAGTGCCTTACGCCACAGCACTGCCTCACCCGACTGACGGGACTACTAGGCTGTTTTGACCAAGCAAAGAAAAGAAAAGTTACATCTTGCTGCCTTACCCGACGAGCGGGACTACTAGGCGCCGCATGAGCCTAACCCGACGAACGGGACTACTAGGCTGAAATGTTGGCCATCTCACCAGCATTGAATGTAAGAAACAAGCCGAGGAGAGCGTTGCGTAAAAGCGTGCGAGCATAGCTTTTGGGGCTGATACTCTTGCACTGTTTGTCCCAGCGGAGTACTTTTTGACTGCATAACCACTCAAGAGCTTCTCCTGGAGCAAGCGGGCCGTCACGACCTCCCCCACTAGGTCTGCGGCTGCGCCAAGCGCTGGCCGCGCCAAGCGCTGGCCGCGCCAGCTCGCCTAGCTCAGTACTGAAGGCTTGAAGTAGGACACATTGAGAAACGTTGGGTAAGGTTGCTTCTCCTCGAACTGTACTCGACTGCGCGGCCTCCTCAAAGCTGGTGATGAAATAGCAGAATACCTTCTCGTCTGAACTGTGAGCAATACCAGATTTGCAAAATACGCATTGGCCAGTGCCGTCCGATTTCAGCTTCCGACTACCAGAGGCAATGATAAAGGGCCGGATAGAGATCTGCCGCTAGCGCAGCAGGGACTCAGGCTTGTCTTCGTCAACTTGGCTGGGGCTCAAGGCTCCCGTTAGTAGGACCGCTTCGTCGGACAGCATCTGTAGACGTGCCACTGGAAAAAAAGACTATTGGTTGTTGTCCAGCTGCAACTATACCTGCATGAAACAAGGAACACCATATGCTCTGCTGTGTGAACCAGCGCATAGAAAAACCCGTCGTCCTCTGCTAAAGGCTCAAAGATTATCCCTTCTGCCATCCTCTTGTTTCGACTGAAGTGCCAAGGCACGATCAGACTCCCCTCGCCGCGAGGAAAGGCGAGAACCCTCACACTTGGGAGCGTGAGATGCAGTCTTTGACTATCTCGGTGTCTCCCCCCGGAATTGGGACCGGGCCAGCTCGTGAGAATGCTGTCTGCGGCTGTATCTCAGTTGCAGGAGGCTAGAGCCTCGAAATGACCATCAGCTGGCAAGAGCTAAACGCCTTGAGATGTTAGGAGGGCCCCGAAAGCTGTTAAAGAGATGAAGTTCGGGGCCTTGGCCGGTTCGACAGCTACCAGGCTACCATGCGCGGGCGGCTTGAGCTGGTAGTGCTACAACAACAACAACAAGAACAACAACAACAACAACAACAACAAGAACAACAACAACAACAACAACAACAACAACAACAACACCAATAACAACAACAACAACAACAACAACAACAACAACAACAACAACAACAACAACAACAACAACAACAACAACAACAACAACAACAACAACAACAACAACAACAACAACAACAACAACAACAACAACAACAACAACAAGAACAACAACAACAACAAGAACAACAACAACAAGAACAACAAGAAGAACACCAAGAAGAGCACCAAGAATAATAACAACAACAACAACAAGAACAACAACAACAACAAGAACAACAACAACAAGAACAACAAGAAGAACACCAAGAAGAGCACCAAGAATAACAACAACAACAACAACAAGAACAACAACAACAACAACAGCAACAACAACAACAACAACAACAACAACAACAACAAGAACAACAACAAGAACACCAACAAGAACAACAACAAGAACATCAAGAACAACAACAACAACAACAACAACAACAACAACAAGAGCAACAACAAGAGCAACAACAAGAGCAGCAACAACAACAACAACAACAACAACAACAACAACAACAACAGCAACAACAACAAACAACAAACAACAAACAACAGACAACAGACAACAGACAACAGGCAACAGGCAACAGGCAACAGGCAACAGGCAACAAGCAACCAGCAACCAGCAACCAGCAACCACCAACCACCAACCACCAAACCACCAACCACCAGCCGCCAGCCGCCAGCCGCCAGCCGCCAGCCGCCAGCCACCAGCCAACAGCCAACAGCCAACAGCCAACAGCCAACAGCCAACAGCCAACAGCCAACAGCCAACAACCAACAACCAACAACCAACACCCAACACCCAACACCCAACAGCCAACAGCCAACAGCCAACAACCAACAACCAACAACCAACAACCAACAACCAAGAACCAACAACCAACAACCGCAGCCGCAAGCGCAGGAGCAAGCGCAAGCGCAAGCGAACGGCGACAACGGGAACGACAACCACAACAACAGCAACAAGAAGAAGAACGGCAACGACCGTGGCGACGGCCACAGGAAGGCAACAGCCGACAGCAACTTCGACAACCGCACTCACCCGTGCCAGCACCATCAGGCCCTGTGCGTCGCTGTTTGCAATGCGGGAGCAAGAAGTACTTTACACTTTACACGCTACACATGTACACACTCCGGGCGTTTTGCCTGGAAGCCTTCGATCTGGCATGCTAGTTATTTATCACCTACACTTTGCTATACAACGAGCTTCAATCAACAAGCGGCATGGAAGGCTTGTGCTTTGGAGAGTCTCGCGGTGCTTGGGTACGGGGTCGAAGGGCCCAAGTGTTGGCTTTCGAGAGATCAGGTGCCCGGAGCAACGTCAAGCAGAGGAGCCGAACTCGGACTATCTGGAGCTGTAGGCGCGGCTTCCGGGACGCTGCATGAACTTCACCCGCCAACATTTTTTGGCGGCGAGTGTCCCCAAGTCTAAGTCTGGAAAGTGTTTATCCCCAATCTTGCAGCACTAGAGGGCGATTATTAATGAATAGTACTTTTCTGTTATTGTCAGTATCTTCATTGTCACGGTTATGATCGTCGTGACCGTTATTGTATGTTATTATCCTTACCCTCATTATTGTTTTTCTCCAGCTCTTATTATCATCATTATTGTTATTCTTCTTCTTACTATTAGTATTGCGAAATATTCTAAAGGCGATCGCTTCGGCCCGGCTAGCAGGTGGGGGAGCGTGGAGACGAGGCGAAGGATTGTCGACATGGGTAGTTTTCTAAATGACGTTTTCAGGTCCCCAATATAGTACGGCACCCTCATCACAAGGACCCCAAACGGGACCCTAACTTTGAGAACTACCTACATGTTCTTCTGCCTGTCAGGCCTGTCAGGCCTGTCAGGTGGTGTGGCAAGTGCCTCAATGGCTCGTGCCATTGTCATACATCGTCACACATACATAGGTGTGTATGTACGTATGTGAGTGCGTGTACATATATATACACTCACAGAGAGACAGAGAGAGAGAGAGAGAGAGAGAGAGAGAGAGAGAGGGAGGGAGGGAGGGAGAGGAGAGGAGAGGAGAGGAGAGGAGAGAGAGAGAGAGAGACAGAGAAAAACAAGATGTCACCAGGTTATAATGCATATACACATATCTATTGCCACGTATCTCTGAAAGGTCCTTCTGTGTTCGTAGAGCCATGCGGTGTTGACCTGGATCGTACTTGACGCTTCGCCACCACGGCCCGGTCGCAGGTGAAAAGTACTCTATACCCACAGATTTGGTTCAGATTAGACAAGAAATGAAGAAATGTGAGGGGGGCGGGGTTCTGGAGTGCTTCTGCCTCAGCAGAGAGTGGAAGCTCCAATTTTGAGAGCCCACAAGGAGTGGGTCCGAGTGGGTGACTGGGGAGGGAAAGGATGAGGGGACAGAGATTTTCTGGAAGGAGCGGGCCACTGCTTCCACCAGAGCTGAGCCGAACTGATCCGAACTGTGCGCCTGAATTCCGCGGCTATTTGGAGCCCCAGGGAAAGAATCGTGTTTATAGACTCTCGAGGAATGGCCGAAGGCATTTACCGGATTCCGATCGCAGCGCGACCGTCTAAGGGGTTTCTGTGTTGGTGAGTCTTGTTTAGCCATGCAAAGCCTAAGGTTGTCGGAGACTTAGCATCCCAAGACTTACCCGAATGGTAGCAAAAATTCAATTCCAGATGGAATCCGGACCAGCACTAGGTTCTGTCCCACCTCCGCAGCTCCGTGGTGCGGGTTTAGAGTTTAGGCTACATAGGTTTAGTCTGCGAGCCGGTTTGGGCAGTTGCCGCGAGAGTTCACGTCGTTGAAGGTAGCTGGAGGTGATCAGAGATTTTCGGCAGAATGAGCTCTGCCCGACTGTCAGGATTTAAACAGGGTGAAGCCGCACCCTGCTGTGCCGGTGCTTTCTCTGGGTTCTGGTTAAGGGATCTAATATAAGTTGGTCTATAGTATATAAGAAGGTTCTGGCAAGAACCCAGTTCTTCCAGGGAATGGCCGAAGGCATTTACCGGATTCCGATCGCAGCGCGACCGTCTAAGGGGTTTCTGTGTTGGTGAGTCTTGTTTAGCCATGCAAAGCCTAAGGTTGTCGGAGACTTAGCATCCCAAGACTTACCCGAATGGGGCGTAGCAAAAATTCAATTCCAGATGGAATCCGGACCAGCACTAGGTTCTGTCCCACCTCCGCAGCTCCGTGGTGCGGGTTTAGAGTTTAGGCTACATAGGTTTAGTCTGCGAGCCGGTTTGGGCAGTTGCCGCGAGAGTTCACGTCGTTGAAGGTAGCTGGAGGTGATCAGAGATTTTCGGCAGAATGAGCTCTGCCCGACTGTCAGGATTTAAACAGGGTGAAGCCGCACCCTGCTGTGCCGGTGCTTTCTCTGGGTTCTGGTTAAGGGATCTAATATAAGTTGGTCTATAGTATATAAGAAGGTTCTGGCAAGAACCCAGTTCTTCCAGGGAATGGCCGAAGGCATTTACCGGATTCCGATCGCAGCGCGACCGTCTAAGGGGTTTCTGTGTTGGTGAGTCTTGTTTAGCCATGCAAAGCCTAAGGTTGTCGGAGACTTAGCATCCCAAGACTTACCCGAATGGGGCGTAGCAAAAATTCAATTCCAGATGGAATCCGGACCAGCACTAGGTTCTGTCCCACCTCCGCAGCTCCGTGGTGCGGGTTTAGAGTTTAGGCTACATAGGTTTAGTCTGCGAGCCGGTTTGGGCAGTTGCCGCGAGAGTTCACGTCGTTGAGGGTAGCTGGAGGTGATCAGAGATTTTCGGCAGAATGAGCTCTGCCCGACTGTCAGGATTTAAACGGCTTGACGTCGGCCTGCTGCTGGGCAGAAGATGTTTTCAGTCCTGGAAGAATCTTGGCCCCAAACCAGAGGCCCAAAACTCCAAAACCCGAATCCCAAACACAGAACCCTTAGAAGAATCCCCATGTGTCCAGTTCTTGCCGTTTAGGCAAACAGGCCTGTCAGTCATTGTCCGGTTGAGTCCGGCAACTGCGTTGGCATTCCGATGCACCTTGCGGGCATACGCTCTACGACTACTCGTACTGCGAATTTGCAGTATGAGAATTGCTGCGGAAGTCGTGCTCAGGGACCGATCGGAGGCTTGGATTTCGCAGGTCGTGTTAAGGCTGTGCCCATCGTTTTGGGGTTAGTTTGCCGGGCTCGGGGTTCATGCAGGGCTTAGCATTTAAAACCTTTGTGCTGGAGTACGAAGACCGAGTCATAAACAGTCTAAGAGCCTGCGCACTCGGGAACTTCAAGGCTACCTTAAACGTTTTTTTTTTTTTACAAGGCTTTGGGGGATTGCAGATGTATCAAGCAAGCCTTGGCAAGTTTTAATCACCAAGATTCCAATCTACCTATGTCGGCATCTAAAGCATCGCCATCGCATTGAACGGAATAACAGAATCCTACAGACTACAGCAACTGCAGCGACCAGATTGAAGCCAATGTTGCAGAAAAGTGTGATCTCTTGGCATGGCCGCTGCTGATTTGAAGACCCCGAGAGTCCAATACTAAACACATTGACATACCAACGACTACTTAAATGCACGATTGAACAATCATGTGCGATCAAGCGTGCGTATGTACGCATGCATGTGTGTATGGACAAGATCGCTCAGTAGTCTGTCCCTGCACGTGTTCTGCGCACGGGTGCGGCTCACAGAGCTTTCCGCCCAGATGTGAGTTTCGGTCGAGATCTTGCAGCACCTTTGCATGGAGAGTGCGCCCACACCAGAACCATAAGCCCAAAACCAGTTTGCTTCAGAGTCTGCTTAGGACGTACTTTAGCCTGTGTACTGTGTACCATACATCATGTATATACACACATACACACCTGTTAATAGATCTCGGTCAAGATTTCCTCGCCCGGGGGCGGCGCAGCCGCACCCTGCTGTGCCGGTGCTTTCTCTGGGTTCTGGTTAAGGGATCTAATATAAGTTGGTCTATAGTATATAAGAAGGTTCTGGCAAGAACCCAGTTCTTCCAGGGAATGGCCGAAGGCATTTACCGGATTCCGATCGCTGCGCGACCGTCTAAGGGGTTTCTGTGTTGGTGAGTCTTGTTTAGCCATGCAAAGCCTAAGGTTGTCGGAGACTTAGCATCCCAAGACTTACCCGAATGGTAGCAAAAATTCAATTCCAGATGGAATCCGGACCAGCACTAGGTTCTGTCCCACCTCCGCAGCTCCGTGGTGCGGGTTTAGAGTTTAGGCTACATAGGTTTAGTCTGCGAGCCGGTTTGGGCAGTTGCCGCGAGAGTTCACGTCGTTGAAGGTAGCTGGAGGTGATCAGAGATTTTCGGCAGAATGAGCTCTGCCCGACTGTCAGGATTTAAACAGGGTGAAGCCGCACCCTGCTGTGCCGGTGCTTTCTCTGGGTTCTGGTTAAGGGGTATAAGTTGCCATAGGGATCTATAGCAAATACGAAGGTTCTAGCAAGAACCCAGTTCTTTCCTTGTTAAGGATTTAATTTAAATTACCATAATGGGGATCTATAGTAAATAGTATGGCTTTAACACGAACCCAGTTCTTTCCGTTTGCCTGACGCCGGGAGGCGGCATCCCGTGCCGGGGCTTTCGGCTCTGAGGTGGTTCCTTCCATGTCCCATTAGGGACGCGGCTTGCCCACCGATGCTGAACTATCTGGATTCCATACCTTTCCTCGAGCATGGATGCCGAAGGGCTTTACTCACATGAGATGTCATAGTATGCAATACCTTGTAGTGAAAAATGTGCCCGCTACTGTCTATGTAAAATGCAACCGTGCTGCTGCTTGCCTTGCGACGGACAGATTGATACTAAATTCGCTAAGTTCGATATTAGTTCCTCGCGAATCTAAATTCCCTAAAGGATTTAGTTCCAGCTATATAGACTTGATTAAAGTCGCTACATGTTTATTGGAGTCGAGATTTGGTTGACCACCAGTGTCTGATCCATGTTTCTCGCCAGTCCCAGCATTTATTTGGACGCCGAATCGTAGAACCTTTTTGAGGTTCCTCTATGTTTAGTGTTTAGGGTTTAGGTTCATGTAGTGTTTAGTAGGCGCCTACAGCACTGGCTCCAAGATGCCGCAGAGGAGTCTGCCTAGCCTAGCTTTCCTTTGGCACCTTCGTTTTATAAGGCATGTTGCTTTCTGCCTTCGAGCCAGGCTCAGCCTAGCCGTCACCCAGGTTGACATACAGCGACCGTTTTGCTCCCTGCAGCTCCCGATGGTCCCTTTGCCTATGATTCTCTGATCATTCTCGTGCCTGTTCGGTTTTCGCCTCTTGATTGCTATCTTGAAGATCTGCGCTGGGATCTTGATTTGCCGGGGTGGCGAGGTGCGCCGGGCAGACAGTCTCTTTGCACAATTTGCCCTCGCCTGCTTCCATTT